CAATGATTGCTGAAATATCTGCTGTCAGATTGGATGTTTGATTTTTGCTTAGGTTCAGGTTTTGTAGTGCTTTTTTTGTAGGTGGCTAGCTTTTGATGTCCAAGTCTTTTTGTTCTACTTGACGTGATGACAAATGTTTTGAGACATGCGGAAATATGTCAAGTCAAAGTGGCATCGCGCTGCTTCTCTATTGAGAACTTGGGAATTTTGGAGGAGTGCCACTGAGTTCAACAGTTACCAGTTATCTTTCAACAAGCTATGAGAGCATATCAAAAGAATATCAAAGTGAGAATGAGAATGAGAATATCAAAAGATGCATTTCTAATCAATCATTGTTACCATGACCATAGACTAAACTTGATATCATAATACAGTATCTACACCTTTTTAGGCACAATTTCAAAAAGCTTAAGACTAAATTTAAAAAGCTCATGCTCATTTTGAAGTAAAACTTTTTAAATTTGGCCTGTAGCTTTTTGAAGTTGTGCCTGAAAAGGTGATAGAGTCTATGCCATGACCAATGGTGAATACAGAGTACCTACATATCAATATCAATATATGCTATATTTTTGCCTTCATTTGGGCACATGTGGCTAGTTCCCAAATCCTAAGCAAAGGCACTGCCTGAATCTTGATGATGGGCTCAATTATGTTCATCCAAATGTTCATCCATTGACAATATAGAAATTCAGAGTCAGACCTAACAGACCTAACCAACAAAAGTTAACCCCGATGATTTGGAGTGACAGGGCGCACCAGCTGCGAGGCTATATCGCAAAAGTTAACCCCACCCTCCCTTGATAAAACCTGACATCATCAATCCATGTATGGTGCTTGACTTGTTATTTCTTGTAGTTTTCAAGTAAACTATTAAATTGAGGCGATTTTTTAAACAGGGGCGTAATCACTCCTCAAAAAATGGGCTGGAAATAAACTCCCTCCGGGGGCGGCATTAACCCTCGCCGGCCGAGGGGGGGGGGGCGGGTGCCCCCCCCCCCATAGGGGTTTTTCGCGATAGCTCCGAACACGCCGGCGATAGAGAGCTGAAACTTGGCATACCTGACCTTTGATTCAAGCCGGATCTTTTGACACCAACCGCATTTGCGGGTCAGGTCAGGTCACTGACTTATGATCACATGATGTCATAAGTGAATCTCTGCACGGTCTTCAGATGTCGCAACTTCGCAACGCCCTCACTGCCAGAGGAGCTTTCACAGGGAAATGAAACTTGCAAGACCTAGTATCCATTAGGAAACTAACAACTTGTATATCTCGGATTTTTCCTAAAGGTCATATGAGGTCAGGTCATTTTCGTGACCTCACCATTATAAGTCAATAGGGCAAATTGAAAACTGCTATTCTGGCGCCGGGAACGATCTCCAACTATCTCAAGCACACAGAATCGTGATTTCATGCACTCCTTGCAAGGTTCCGTGCGTCACTTTTGCAATGTTGACCTTTCATGACGTCATTTATGACGTCATTAGGGTCATATGAATTTTTCGTCAATAGCTCCCGATCAAATTGAGCTAGCGGGTCGGGAAAGCCAGCAATGGACTCAGGAAGACCTGCAGAATCGAATGATATGCGATATGACCTCATTCGACCAACTTCGTGACCTAGGGGCGCTGACCTGACCGTGACCCGAGGTCAACACCCTACGTTGACCTCACCCAAACGAAACGTATATCATTCGACGCGCCTGAGCAAGGCGAACACGATGCTGCCAAAATCGCGGCTCTGCGGCCGTTTTTGAAGACCTCACAAAGACCTCACCCACTCAAGGGCCCCACAGTAGACCGAGGACTCTTTCAAGTGCTCAGCTTTACTCTTGAGTCTTGCTGCGCGCTCAGGGCACTACTCGTTGGCTCGGAATACTTACATCAAGCAATCACACAGGGCCATTTCGCGACTTCGATGGTTGTTTGCGATCAGAGCGTCTCACCTGACGCTCTCATGGGCTGAATTCGCATAGGCGAATCCCTTAGACTTATCGAGCCCAAAATGTAACACTTTGTGTTGGGCAGCATACAGAGCCCGCCAAAACGTGCGCACGTCCTTCATTTGCGCACGTTAAGAGTAGCAACCAAACTGTGATACCTAGCCATGGAATTATGAATCGTTTGTTTGTTTGTTTGTTTTGTTGGGTTAGGCCCTTTCGGTCGACAAGACCATTGCAGAGCCGGAAGGATGATAGGAATTAGGGGGAGACATTGGTCTGGGCAGGCACCCTATGAGTCGCCGGGGCTGAGCCCGTCCAGGGGACAGGCCACCCAGCCCCAAGGCACTCACTGCACCCGGCTACGGGGTGCGCTCCCTCAGGAGCAGCGGTGCCGCTCCAAGGGAGCAGCCCGCATGAGATAAAGTTGCCTGTCCAGCCCGGAGGGGGGTTGCGGCGTGGAGGAGAAGGATTTCAGTATCCTGAGGATAGAAGCACGGAAAGGTGTAATTATGAATCCCCCGGTTCGCACGATGTTCACCTATCGGAGACGTTTCAGCACAATTCGCCAAGTCAATGCGTAGTTATTATATGTAAACAGCAGCAATTTAAGCACCCCTGACTGAGCTATCGCCGAAATATTCGCCAGCGTTAGGGGCGAAAAACGCCCCCCCCCCGGGCCAGCGAGGGCTATCATTCCGGGGAGAGGTGGCACAGCGCCTGACGAGAGCAGCACAGACGTCGATGGAGCGTTATAGGGAGGGGCGAATCATTAAACGTTTTGACGCATTCTGGGAAGGGGAGGCGCGTAAGGGCAGAAAGGCGTCTGGGGAGGGACGGCACGTAGCGGCGGCAAGGTGCCTTGGGAGGGTGGCGCCGACTGCGATAGAGCATTGTGGGGAGTGGCGGCTTGTTGAGGGCGGCGGGGTGTTGTGGCGAGGGGCGGCACATAGTGGGCGCCAAGATACTCTGGGGAGGGCGGCAAGGCGTTTATGGAGGGCGGCACAGACGGTGGTAAAGCGTTGTGGGGAGGGCCGAGGGGCGGCACATTGGGGGCGGCGGGGTTTGTGGTGAGGGGCGGCACATAGAGGGCGCCAAGGCACTTCGGGGGGTGGGGGCACATATGGCGATAGAGCATTGGGGGGGGGGGGGGCGGCTTATTGAGGGCGGCGGGAAGTTGTGGCGAGGGCAGCACATAGAGAGCGCCGAGGTACTCTGGGGAGGGCGGCACAGACGGCGATAGAGCTATATGCGGAGGGGCGGCACATTGAGTGCGGCGGGGTTCTGTGAGGGGCGGCACATAGAGAGCTCCGAGGAACTTGAGGGGAAGTTGGTGCGGAGGGGCGGAAGGACATCTGGGAGGGGCGGCGTGTAGAGGGCACCTAGTTATTTTAGTGAGGAGCGGCACGTTGAGGTCAGGCGTATAGTGGACCGAGCAGTGCCGTTTTTTCTTGGTTTTGAAGTCCGTGAGTCCCGCAATTGCAGACTTCCTCTACCGGGGGCGGCATTTCAGCATCCCAAAAATGGGCTGGAATTTCCAGCGTTCCAGCGCGGTGGTTACGCCCATGTTTTTAAAGTTTTATGATAGAAATCAACTGCAAAACAGCTTCTTTTACAAAGCTCATTTTGTATTTTGTGTAAGCCTATCCCATGCCTCTTGCCATTGCCAGTGGGCAGTGGCTGAATAGGTACCTACCTACCTACTTATTCTTTCATGTAAGTAAATGAACTTTTTTACAATGCATTCACTATTTCTAGTCAGTGTTAAAAACTCCGGAACACTATGTTTCATATCTGCTTCATCTATTCCCAAACAGTACCACATACTTCTTGTTATAGATAACCCCCACCATTCGCCACTTCACCAGTCTATCCCCCCCCCCCCCATGGCCCGTTAGTTCCCAGAAGGCATCATATTTCCACTTGGAAAGGTATCAGTGAATCACTTCTTCGAGAGTGCATAACTAACTGCACAATTAGCAAATCTGTGCTGCTCCTGAGTCCATTTCAGCTGAGCAGTTCCATTGCTGCTCTATTGTCCAGCCGCTGCTGTTTTCCTATTGTATGCACCGCTAGTTCGCGGGACATTGAGTGGAGCGTAGACTCGACCTTTGCGCCACTCCAGCCCGTGCGGCGGCCCAGTCTCAGACGGCTCTGTGCGGCGGGTCCAGCCTCAGACGGCTCTGTGCGGCGGGTCCAGCCTCAGACGGCTCTGTGCGGCGGGTTCAGCCTCAGACGGCTCTGTGCCGGCCGACTGACGCTGTTTACCGCGCCTCCGGGGCGGCGGCTGTTCCACAAACAAACCGTGTGTGTGCCCAGTCCGGGCCCTCAGCGCCCAGTCCCAGCCCTCAGCCTCCGTGCGGCCGCCCGCGCCGGCCACCGAGACCTGAGACCTACCCTCACTGGATGACGCTTGGGACTGACAATTAACCACACGATTCTTTAGAAATAAAAGCTTAAAAAAAGCTCCAAGGACAAGATGTCGTCCTTGAACATATTTCTAGTCTAAGACTTTGTTGTGGAGACGGGTTGGTGGTATCATTTGAGATAGAAACACCAGATTGTCAGACGTTTGTTATCTGCTGTGCTTCCGTTTCTATTTTAATGCATTTTTCTCGACGCTTGAACTTGGGCTACATTTTCCGAAAACCAAAACCGTATATGTATACACTTTGCAAAGATAGCACCTTTGTCCTCACGCGACTGAATGAATGTATGGCAGAATGTGGGATTTAGTGAACACCTGCGGATATATTACGCACCGTGGTATATTATTTTTTTGTGATCCTTGCGTGCTACAGCACATGCTGCAGCTAATCCGTACCTACCATTGTACAGTTGGGTACTTTATTACCAACATTTCCTGTTTCGGTTTTAATCGACGGTGCTCGTTACCTCTGGTGGCCTTGGCGCCTCGCGCCGGGTTGTGTTGTGTACTGTCTCTGTGTCGTGTCGCCCGCACTGGACGGGGTCAGTCGGCCGGTGCCGCTGCCCCTGTGTTTGGGCGCCGGGCGGCCGGCGGCGGCGGCGGCGCGCGCGCTGATGGCCCGCTCGGTTGCAGGCCGTCCGGACGGTGAGCGGCGCCGCGGCACACACGGACATGGCGCGCCAGCCACTCAGCGTGGACGACCCGGTGCTGGGCGCGTCGGCGGCGCAGCAGATGGCCGCATCGTGCACGGGCGCCGTCCTCACCAGCGTCACCATGACGCCGCTCGACGTCGTCAAGATCCGCATGCAGGCGCAGCAGCGGGCGCGCTCGGCGCAGCGCTGCTTCCTCTACTGTAACGGCCTCATGGACCACCTGTGCATCTGTGTGAACGGTCAGAGCGGCGGCGCGGCGTCCGGGTGCGGCCCGGCGGCCGCCTGCCGCGCCGCCGAGCCGGCCGCCACCAGCTGGTACCGCCGGCCGTGCCCGCCCGTCTACACGGGCTCGGTGGACGCGGCGCTGCAGATCGCGCGCGCCGAGGGCGTCCGCTCGCTGTGGAGCGGCCTCTCGCCCACGCTGGTGTCGGCCATCCCGTCGACGGTGGTGTACTTCGCCACGTACGACCAGAGCCGGCAGTACCTGCGCGCCCGGTTCGGTTCGGCCGCCTCGCCGCAGCCGGCCTGGGTGCCCATGGTGGCCGGCGCGGCGGCGCGCGTCTGGGCCAGCACGCTGGTGGCGCCGCTCGAGCTGGTGCGCACGCGCATGCAGGCGCAGCGGATGCGCTACACGGAGTTGGGCGGCGCGGTGCGCGTGCTGCTGCGCGAGGAGGGTGTGCGCGGCCTCTGGAAGGGCCTGACGCCCACGCTGATCCGCGACGTGCCCTTCTCGGCCGTCTACTGGGCCGGCTACGAGGGTCTGAAGCTGGCCGCCGGCCAGCAGACGCCGTCGGCGCTGTTCAGCTTCGCGGCCGGCTCGGCGGCCGGCACGGTGGCCGCCGTCGTCACGCTGCCGTTCGACGTGGTCAAGACGCACTGGCAGATCGAGTTCGGCCAGCGGCTGGGCGCGCCGGACTCGGGCGGCGGCCGGCCACCGCGGCCGGGCGGTGTGCTCGCCTCCCTGCGCGAGATCCACGGGCGCGCCGGCGTGCCGGGCCTGTTCGCCGGACTGGTGCCGCGCGTGGTCAAGGTGGCGCCCGCCTGCGCCATCATGATCACCACCTACGAGGGCGGCAAGGCCTTCTTCCTCAGACGGAACGAGCGGCGTGCGCGGGAGCGGGAGGCCGCCGAGGCGCCGGTGTGATACTGGGCGGTCCGGGAACGGTCTGCGGTGTGATAGTCGGTGGTCCGGGAACGGTCTGCGGTGTGATAGTCGGTGGTCCGGGAACGGTCTGCGGTGTGATAGTCGGTGGTCCGGGAACGGTCTGCGGTGTGATAGTCGGTGGTCCGGGAACGGTCTGCGGTGTGATAGTCGGTGGTCCGGGAACGGTATGCGGTGTGATAGTCGGTGGTCCGGGAACGGTCTGCGGTGTGATAGTCGGCGGTCCGGGAACGGTCTGCGGTGCGATAGTCGGTGGTCCGGGAACGGTCTGCGGTGTGCTGTTGGCTCCCGGAAGTGGAGTCGGTCTCTCAGTGGTATGGAGGGCGGTCAGTCGGCGGTGTGGACTGTGGAGGACTGTCACTCAATAGTGTGAGGACGGTCACTCAGTAGTGTGAGAATGGTCACTCAGTGATGTGAGGACGGCCACTCACTAGTGTGGACAGTCAGCCGGCGGTGTGAGGACGGTCACTCACTAGTGTGGAGGACAGTCAGTCGATGGTGTGAGGACGGTCACCCAGCAGTGTCAGGAGTCGGCGTCGTGGGATGGTGCCGCCGCTCCGGAGAGTCCCACGAGCCGACCGCCAGCCGTGGCGACTGGTTACGGACAGACTGCCCGGCAGGGTCGGCCCGCGCGCCGCGTCTCGCTAGCTGTCCCTGTGGGAGGGACCGTATTGAGTGGCGTCTATCCCCAGGGGACCGGACGCAGTAGTGTGTTGTCCACTGAAGGACTGTCTCCCTGTGGATGGGCTGTACTCGTTGGCGGGCCGTAGGGGACTGGTGCGGGACGTTTGTCCCTGTGGGACCGAGTGCAGTGTACTGGTGTCCGTCATAGAGCGTGGCCGGTGCTCAGTGGGCGGCTCTGTGGACAGGTGTATGACGTTAATCTGTGATCCACTGCTGGCGAGCTGACGCAGTCGAATTTTTACACCCTAGTTTGTTACTATTCAGGAAGGAAAGTGATCATGGTAATGCTTGTTAGAGTTCCTGATATTAGCTGGAAACGCCATAAGACTGATGACCGTGCTCAGTTTATGTCATTATTTTACTCAATATGCAATATAAGCCATGATAGTGAACACATCTGACAGAACTGGTTTTCAGTAGTTTAGTCATCATATCGCTTCATTTGCTATTTTCGATGTCGGTATCTTTAGCGAGCTGAGTTAGTTAGTTTATTGACACTTGATGAAGACATTATACTGCCACTACGTAGTCACACAACATTCGAGTGACCCTGCTCACGCAGTCCCCTCCCAGCCCCGCTCGCCCCCCCCCCTCTCAGCCCCGTTCTAGCCCCGCTCTCTGCTGGCTGTGCCTGTCTCTCAGCTCGGCGGAGTGCAGGTGCGCCAGAATTAGCCGCATGGCGGCCCCGGCCCCGGTGCGACCGCCCGTTGTCTGTCGGTGCCGCTCCTGGCAGAGCCACCGGCGCGGCCGCCATGACGACCCCCGAGGTCAATAAACAACGGGCCCGGGCCCGCGCGGCGGCGGGGCCGGTCCCGCAGAGTGGCCACGGCGGCGTGCGGTAGCCATGGAGCGTCGAGTTGAGAGCAGCTGGCCGGGTCTAGGTAGAGTTGGGCTGGGCGGTGACTAAGGTGTTATGAGCGTCGGTTTTCTGGCACCGAATGGGCCGGCGCCTGGCACCGGTCCATGCTGCGCCACATCGGACACGGGTGACTTAATCTGATGTTTGATCGTCAATTTCAGCTTGGGAGCTGAAAATTGAGCATTTCGGTGACGAAGTTTCACATCCAATTTTGGTGGTACTAAATCTGGAAATGTCTGGCGTAATATGTCTGCCTGGTGGCGGAGAGATGTCGGTGTGCGGCGGGGTGCGCCGCTGACAGTTTCACTCGGTGGACGGTGTGCGTGCCGTGAGCGGGCGTTTGCGCCGGGCGCCGTCACCCGGTGCTGGGCGCGGTGCGGTGTGCGGCTCAGCCGCTCCCTCCCCCTCCCCCGTCCCGCCCGTCAGCCAGCTGTGGCCGCCGTACGCAGGGGCGTCAGAAGCGGCCGACGCGGCGCCGGCTGACCTGACCTGACCTGACCCGCTGCCCGGTCACGGCCGAGCGTCTATCGGCGGCGGCTCGGGACGGACGGGACCGGAGCAGGGCCGGGTCTCACCCCCCTCCCGCGCCAGGTCAGGTCGCCGATTGTCGCCTGCCGCCGGAGCTGTGGCGGCCTCGGGTGGCCGCCACTGACCGCCCGTCGGCGGCTCAGTTCGACAGGGACGCCTGTCGACGTCGGCGGCGTGCCGGCTCCGTCGGGCTTGTGCCCCTTCCCCTCAGTGCGGACTCCGCCGGGTCTGTGGACCGCCTCCGCCAGGTCCGTGGCCCCCAATTCCGTGCCGTGACTGCTCTCAGAGCGGCGTCCGGGCGGTGGCGACATCTGACGGTGCGCTGGTGCTGCCGTCCCGGAGGACGCGTCATGTTCGCACTCCATCGGCGCGTTCCGGACGAGGAGACCTTCCTTCTTACGTGAGTGCCGGCTTTGACAGCTCTCCGTCCCCATACTACTCTCATGTCATGCATAAAGCTCCCTGACCGCACCCCTCCCCACCAGTGGCGGGGTCTTCCCCTGCCCGCCCCCAGTACCAGCGCCGTCGGCCGGAGCCCTGTCGGCCTACCGTGGCGGCGCCGTTGCACACACCTGTCCGCCGGCCGGGCAGCGCTCCCGGCCGTGTGTGCATCGCCAACAAGTGGCCGCGGCCGGCCTTCAGAGCGGTGTGCGCGACGGGACCGGGTTAGGGGAGGGAACTCGATCGATGTGGGCTGGCGGCGCGCGGACGGCCCGGCACCGGCCAGTTGGACTCGAGCGGCGGCCCAGTCGGCCGCGGTCCTCGGTTGGCGGCCGTCGTTCCGCCGTCTGTCCGTCTGTCCGTCCGTCCGCGGCCCGGTGACGCTTTGACCCGAGGACGCTCGGCCACCGTCGAACGCATGGCCGATATGGTGTCGGTCCGCACCCAGCAGGTCACCTACACGTTCGCCCAGCCCCGCCAGGTCAGCCGGGGCCGGGTCCCGACCTATGGGTCAGCCAGGGCCGGGTCACGACCTCTGGGGCAGCCGGGGCCGGGTCATGGCCTCTGGGTCGGCCGGGGTCGGGTTACGACCTCTGGGTCAGCCGGGGTCGGCCGGGGCCATGTGGAGGCTGTGGGCCGTAGTCACATCCTCTAGGTAGCCGCGGTCGGTGGGGCCACGGTCACATCACATCCTCTGAGTCAGCCGGGGCAGGACCATGTCCTCTGGGTCAGCCGGGGCAGGGTCACGACCTATGGGACAGCCGGGGCAGGACCATGTCCTCTGAGTCAGCCGGGGCAGGGTCACGACCTATGGGACAGCCGGGGCAGGACCATGTCCTCTGAGTCAGCCGGGGCAGGACCATGTCCTCTGGGTCAGCCGGGGCAAGGTTACGACCTCTGGGTCAGCCGGGGCAGGACCATGTCCTCTGGGTCAGCCGGGGCAGGGTCACCTGGGGATGGACTCTCTTGGCTGGCATTATCCCAAGATGACGGTGTCGATTGTATCTACCTATTTAAATAAAGTTAGGCTCCGGCGAGTAAGAAAAAAACTAAATCACAATCCTTTCTTATTTTTCTTCAAAGATTGCTGAACTTTCTCTCATTTCACATTTTGCCAAAATGTCAGGGAACTCCGATCAGGCTCCAGGTCGCCGTCGGTCTGTCACTGCCGCGCCGTGGTCGGTTGGCCGCAGGCCGCAGGGAGCCGCGCTCCTCCCCTCACCGCCCCGCTGTCAGCTCGAGCACGGCGTCGCGCCATGTCAACAAGCGGCTCCAATACGGACGGTGTCAGCCGATGGCCAGCCAGTGGCCCAGTGGTATACCGGTCCCGGGTCCCGGTCCACCGCGCCGGTCTGGTCTGGCTGTCGGCCCTGGTCCGGCAGTCCGGTCGTGTTGGTCCTGTGGCGGTAGCTCTAGCATGTCGGTAAACCGGCGTTGGATTAGCCGCCGCTCTGGTCAGGGTATTGTAATCCAGTGGGGCACCGCTGGTCCGGTGGAACGCAGCTGGTCCTGTAGTAGTGACGGCCCGCCGCTGGTCCTGTAGTAGTGACGGTCCGCCGCTGGGCGCTGGTCCTATAGGACAGACCATCCGCCGCTGGTCCTATAGGACAGACCACCCGCCTCTGGTCCTGTAGGACAGACCACTCGCCGCTGGGCCTATAGGACGGACGGCCGCCGCTGGTCCTGTACATAGAAGTGACGGTCCGCCGCTGGTCCTGTAGTAGTGACGGCCCGCCGCTGGTCCTATAGTAGTGACGGTCCGCCACTGGTCCTGTACTAGTGACGTCCCGCCGCTGGGCCTATAGGACGGACGGGCTGCCGCTGGTCCTGTAGTAGTGACGGTCTGCCGCTCATGGTCCTACAGCACAATCCCCCGCTGCTCTGAGTCTGGTCCTATAGGACGGACCGTCCGCCGCTGGTCCTGTAGAAGTGACGGCCCGCCGCAGGTCCTACAGCACAATCCCCCGCTGCTCTGGTCCTATAGGACGGACCGTCCGCCGCTGGTCCTATAGTAGTGACGGCCCGCCGCAGGTCCTACAGCACAATCCCCCGCTGCTCTGGTCCTATAGGACGGACGGGCCGCCGCGGGTCCTATAGTAGTGACGGCCCGCCGCAGGTCCTACAGCACAATCCCCCGCTGCTCTGGTCCTATAGGACGGACGTGCCGCCACTGGTCCTGTAGTAGTGACGGCTCGCCGCTGGGCCTACAGCACAATCCCCCGCTGCTCTGGTCCTACAGGACGGACCGTCCGCCGCTGGTGCGAGGACCCCGGCTCGCTGATTAGAGTGGCCGAGTGGGCGTCCTGCGCAGTTCGGTGTCTGCTGAACGACCCTGCTGACCTTTATTCGGCTGCAGTAGCTACGAAGATGATTGATTTGTTGCGGCGCCTGCGTATTTTTTTGCCCCTGAGTGGCCGGTCGACACTCATTTTACATGAAATATGGGAAACTTCGGCTAGTAGCGAGGAGTCGGTGTACCCTATCTATGTAGTTGCGTTTACATTTTAATCTAATTACAAACATAACACAAGTACCGTCATGTAATAATATATGGGTGGCATTTCCATATAGTAAACAGGTTGTTCTGAATTTCAGAATTGGAAGGATATATCGGTGCATATGTGTACCTATACCTATTTAGAGAAACTTGTGTTTTCACATTATTTCTCCAGAAACGCAAAGTTACGTGTATCTATACCTAAGCGATTGCTATGTGTCTGGGCGCCGTATTGCTGAGCGGTGCGCTGTGTTACTGCCCGTGCTGACGCTGACGACCCATCTGACTGTGCCAGCTGCGATGGACCAGCCGGTAAGGTCGCTGCCAGCGCCCCACACCGCGCGGCGCAGTGGCTTATCCGCACGCCGCCCCACTGCACTGTCTATTGCCGAACGACTGCACGGCCGTGCACTATCGCGTAGTGACGCGTGGAAATGATGCACTCGTGCTGTAGGGAGCATGCCTATTTTACATTTGCAGTTGCGATAATGATGCCAGGTCCATGATGGCTCCGATATCGTATAATATCCTAATGCATGATATTTATAATTTGATTTGTCATCAGCTTCTCATAATGGCCTTGTGACTGAGTAGGGGAAAGTGGGGTAAGACGGGCACCTTAACCCTCGCCGGCCGAGGGGGGGCGGGTGCCGCCCCCCCATAGAGTTTTTTCGTGATAGTTCCGAACACGCTGGCGATAGAGAGCTGAAACTTGGCATACCTGACCTTTGATCCAAGCCGCATCTTTTGACACCAACCGCATTTTTGGGTCAGGTCAGGTCACTGACCTATGACGTCATAAGTGAACCTCTGCACGGTCTTCAGATGTCGCAACTTCGCAACGCCCTCACTGCCAGAGGAGATGTCACAGGGAAATGAAACTTGCAGGATCTAGTATCCATTATGAGTCCCACAACTTGTATATCTCGGATTTTTCCTAAAGGTCATATGAGGTCAGGTCATTTTCGTGACCTCACCATTACACACAGAAAAATATTAACACCGTTAGCGGTGTAATTGCACAGTACATATCTGAGCACTTGAGGAAAGTTAATTTAGTCCCTTCCCCGCTTAAG